TCTAAAAGCCTCTGGAACCAGATTTATTAAGAAGGAACTTCAGTTTCCTGTTGAAAAAGAGAGCTGTCAAGAAAATGGCTAAACTGGCCCCAGACCAGAAGGCACCTCCACCCCCCCAACCTCTCCTAGTCCCAGTGTGCCATTAACCCCCCTGACAGTGGGTGTGTGACGTGCAGAGCCATGGCTGTGCTCAGCGATGGTCTCAGGAAGGCTGAAGGAGCTGCAGAGGGAGCTGGGGGTGCCGAAAGCCCTGGCTGCTTCTAAGGTGGAGTTGGGTGAGTTTATGGTGTGCAGCGAAGCTGCGGGCTGGACTCACTGCCTGGCGGGCCCCCTCCCTGCTCCCGTCTCAACAGGCGCTGCCGGGAGCTCGCGTGGTGGAAAACTGGTCGCCGGCGTTCCAGGGGTGCTGGTAGCAGCAGCTGTCCGTAGGCGCTTGCATGCGGCGCACGGCTTCCTCCCTTGCCCGAGAAACAAAAGAATTTACTGGCGCTCTTGTCCTTGTGGGTTGGCTGGCTGCGTTGTTTGTTTTTAATCTAATGAAAGGAGATCTTAATATCATAGTAAAATCGGTACAAAGCTAGAAACTCACCCCTTGGCGTTTTGGCGAAACGTTATTGAAAACGTAAAAGCCTTTAGCAGAAACAACAGAAGCACAAAGAAACTGTAGAAATAGGATCAACAGGTTGTGCTCTGGATGTCAGGAGGAGCAGGGAAGAGCATCCAGCCGGGGCTCAGGGTGCCAGCGAGACCCACTAAGCAGGAGGCCTGACACCAGCCCCGTCATGGCTCCGCAGGGATGTGACACCGCAGTGGTCAGGAGCAGTGGCCCTGTGAGGGTCGGGGCGGGCAGCACTGCGGAGCGGTGGCTGGGTGGTAGAGATGGGCATGTTGCTGGGAGGGCAGGAGCAACTGAGGAGGAGAAACGGGCAGCTGGGAAGAGTCGTGCACTGGGAAGATGATGGTATGTGCACCGCGGCACCTGGCCACGGAAGCGGAGGCAATGGAAGGGCAAGCTTGCTGTCCCTAGGCTTGTGACTGCTTGGATTGATCCTGGCTTGGTCTGCTCCCTGTCTGGAAATTAAATCTTGTACAGAAATTTTAAGTGTTTTTAAATTAGTAAGCGAGGCATCTCTTGCAAAAGGTGGGAATGCTGAAGAAGCGACGGTTGCTCACTCACCCATGGCTGTAGGATCCAGGTGTAGCTCTTCCTGCCTTGCCTCTGTTTTCCTGCGCCTTCCACCTCCTCACAAACACCACTAGAAGCACCATTCCTGCGTGCCACAAGCAGGTGCCTCCTGAAAACGCCATTACCCAGCTTGTCCACCAATACAGTGCTGGGCACTGTGACCGCTCATAAAAACACCCGTTTCGGGGTGACCACTGCCTGATCTGAGAGCTGTGGCGGCTCCCCACGACTCTATCTCACATGGCATGGCGGGCCGATGGAGGGAGCAGCTTCCCGAAGCCATTAGCCGGACTGGTACCTAATTTCTGATTGACCATTAACAAGTTTACACATTGCAAAGCTATTCCCACCCCCTTGCGCTTGCTGACTTCTGGCTCTTGGACAGCCTGTGCGCATTTTGCTTCCGCACTTCTGCACGCAGCGTTTTCTTCTGGCCACCCAAGACTCATTCACTGAGCACATCAGGTTCTGGTGGGGCTTGTGGAGCTGCCCCCGGTCACTGTGCTCCTTTCCATGGCTTCACATGGGATGAGTAGCCCTGTCAGGCAAATTTTCCTTTTGAAGCTGCCATTTGAGTTCACGTTGTGCTCTCACAGCGCTGCAGTTTCCAATGGGCTTTGCACAGGTAGTGTTTATAGTGGTGGGAAGGGAAAAGCAGGAGCACTTTCTGCATGCAGCGTTACAACATGCTGCAGTGAAGTTGGTTCTTGGAACATAGCAGCCCCCTAAAACGTCAAATAAATCCTTAAACTATTCATCACTCTGTTTTTGGGGTGGCAGTTAAGTCTTTCAACACTCTGCAAGTTTCTTTCCCCAGCAGTAATTTCACTGGTGAAGAAATACAGCTCAGGGCACTCCACAAAGGCCTCAAAATTCATGTTTTGTTTTCATTACCAAAAAAATGCTTCACTACATTAAAGAGCAGCCCATTAAAATCTTGTACCCTGTCTTCCCTGTGCCCTGTCGTCGTTGGCAAACCGTCCCCCATACGCGCAGCAGAGCCGAACAGCAGCCGGCCTGTTGCTTTTGCAGACTTCACAGAGAAAGGGCAGTGAAGGGGAGAAGGTTTAAGCCACAGCCCAGCTTGTTTAGGTGTAAGATCTCAGAACTTTGAATAGCTACACGAATTTACTCAATAAATGCACCGTACTGAACCTTAAGCTGCTCTATCAGTGTTTCCTCTGCTTTCAGTCTGACCCAGCACTGCACGCTGGCTCACGTGCACATCTAAGGAAATAAATTAACTGTCTGGTACCTGGAATAAAATCTTAACACTGTGCAAAGCAATGTATTTAACCATCTTGGGCAAATAGCCCTAAAATAACAATGATAAAGAAAATAATGAATTACTGGAGGCTTACCGAACCTTGGGATTATAGAAATTAAATGTTGCAGCGTGAACTGGATGGTGTTTTCTGATACCATTGAAAAGCTAAAGATTGAAGAAAAACAGGAAACGTATTATAATTAGGGTTTAGGGGAGCATTTGGATATACTCATAAGTAACTCAGACTAGCGGAATGCTGACACGGACGCGAGAGCAGGCAGTAAAACCGGGAGCTTGTTTAAGAGGGAAGAAAGGTTTTTAGCTGAATTCAGTGGGGACTTGCTAAGTCCAGTTTTATTTAATATCTCCACAGTTAATTTAGAAATAAGCAGCACGTTAATTAAGTTTGCAACTAAATTAGCAAGTTAGAAGATCAGACCGAGGTGCAGCCGTGGAGGGTAAATTTCGCAGTGTTGCACAAACCCGCAACCCAAAGCAAGCGGCGCGGGGAGCAAACCTGCCCCTTGCCATCACCGGGGTGGGCGCGCACCTTCCCCGGCTGGGCTGTCACCTCTCGCGCCTGCTCCCCTCACTGCTGGGACACAAAGCTGGGGCTGGGGCGGCCACGCTGGAAGGATGGAGGCAGCGCTGGCAGCGCTGGCCCTTGCCTTTGGCAGGGTTTGATGAGCTTGTTATCCACAGCAGGGGAGAGCTCTGCCCTGGTCGCAGCGAGGGACATGGCAGGATCGCACAGCCAAGTCGAAGGGATGGCTGCACAGTGAAATCCAGCAGCTGCGGGACAGTGAAATCCAGCAGGCTGCGGGACAGTCTCTCTGGGCAATGGAGGAGTCCTCGCTGGAGGAGTCATTTAAGACTCGACTTTGAAACACGAGACGCTCCGCAGTTGGGAACAATGCTGCACTGTTGGAGAGATGGACTCAATTACTTAATAGGTCGTTGCTGTCTGTCTCCTGTGATCCTCCTTTCAAGAACATATATTCAGCTGGGTTATTTCTCATGGGAAGACAAAGCATTCTGAGAGAAGCCAGGCATTAGGAGGGGAGAGGCAGGACGAACAGCAGCCAGGCAGATGCTTGGGTGCTTTCTGCAGAGCATTGCTCCTCAGGACGTGGAGAATGCTGGAGTGATGTGGCTGATGTGGTATTTTGGCCCTGTAACCAGCTGATCCCCTGGTCTCATAGGTCTCGCTTCCTTTTCTTTGCTCAGAAAAATGTTGCTTTCTTCTGCCGGACTCGATCCCCAGGACCACTGGTGGTAGGACTGTGGTCCCACAGGCAGCACTGCAGATGCTGCGTGGGCCATGGGTTGCTGGTTTGCCAAAACATTCCGCGTGGGATGGCCACTTCCACCATGGTCCGTGCACCTCATCTCGGTGTATGGGCAGCCACTCCTCTAGCACGGAAAGGCGTTGATGGCCTTCCATCAAAATGACAGCCAAGCTGGAGGAAAAGCAGGCTAGGCCAGGGACCCATCTCCAAGTAACCACAGTTCTCTGTTAGCAGGACATGGCAGACAGGGATGTGTAACAGAGCTGGTGACGTGTGTTCTCACCAAAATTACTCTGGCAGCCATGGGGTGAGTGTTTCACATGCACTTTCCTCATCAGGGTCCTGGGCCTAATTGGCAGCCCTGATTCGGGGCGGCCGCAGGGCTCTCACTGCTGGTGTGCCCCTGTGTCTGCACGAGCACACGCGCGTCGTGTGTGTGAGCGTGCGAGCGCGCTCCTGTCTCTAAGGCATCTATCGTCGTGCACTTGCTTGTCACCAAATTAAGACACTGCATTACCTTGTGCACGTTGAATTGATGCAACTAAATTGGCTGGATGTTCTTAAGCCCTGAGGGTGTAATGAGGTTTTGTCTCCTTTGCCCATTTCTTTTTCTTTTCTTTTTTCAGAATAAGTCGTCTGTTTAACGGCACAGAGCCTATTGTCTTGGACAGTTTAAAACAACATTATTTCATTGATCGAGATGGTGAAATTTTCAGATATATATTAAGCTTCCTAAGGACATCTAAGCTACTGCTCCCAGATGACTTTAAGGTAAGGAAAGCTGTAGTCCGCAATCCATTTTTTCCTCCCGTTCTGTCGTTTGTTTTGGTGCAGGTTGGTTTGTGTGCTTGACCTAAACACACTTAACTAAATGTTGCTGTTTATTGTTAGGATTTTTAGTACTTGTGTATTACACCAGGGATGCTATTATTTAATAAATGGACCAATGGTTGTCATGGATACCATAAAAAGTTAAACGATGAAGCTTACGGCTATATCAGTTTTTCTAAACTAATTGTATTTTCTCACATTTTTAGCTTATTTATCAGGGTATAACAACAATTAAGAAGCAACATCAGCAACTAGCACTTACCAGGGTTTAATGCTCAGAATCTGAAAGAAATGTTTTAAATTTGATACTTAGGCAACTTAAATTGTATAGATCATTTTCTTGTTGGTATAAAAGAGAAACACCCTTAAACAAGGCCATGAGGATTTGCGTTAGATACAACCGATGTAGATACTTTGATTTCAGGAAGTAATTTTTTACACAATTTATGAATGTCAAAATATTCTTGGGAGATAGAATTTACTGAGGGCTTTTTATGGAGCAATACATGTTTTCTATGAAATAATGGTGCTGGTTGTTGCTTTGTAAATCCTGATTGTTTAAACGCTCTCCTCAGAACCTTCTTTGTTTGGCTTTGCACTTACAAAACTTGCAACATTGTCATCCCTATGTATGAAAATTAGAAGACAAAAGTGTCCAAACTGTAGATGACAATATTCGACAAAAGCAGTAACTCCAGGATGAAATGATGAATAAATTGGGATGGCCACAGGGATCTGCTCAGAGTTAGAGGACGCAGAGCGTTGCTGGAGAAGAAAGTTCCCACGCCGCGCAGTAAGATTTCATGTTGCATGTTGGACTAGGTAGGCAAGATAATTCGGCCAGACATTACTGAGTCAGTCTGGATTTGTGGTCGCTGTGGTGGCTTTAGCTTTGGAGTACAGCTGCTCCTCATGCCGCAAACCGTTCCTCTGCCATTCTCACCTAAGTTACGAGTATAATCCTATCTGACCCCAGTGTGGGAGCGCTGACAGTTAACGTTGAGCAGACGCACGGCGCGATGGGAGCACGTTGTCTAGTCCCAAGGCAGGGAGAAGTTTTGGTGTTCACGGGTAGTTTCGGAGCTCCAGCCTGAAAGGGCTGTCCTGAGCGCCGGTCTTTGTGGGGAGCAGCAGGCAGGTCGGGAAGGCTGCCCCCTCCATGAAGGAGGGCAAGAGGCAGAGCACTAAGGGGTGGAAGCAAGAAAAGATTTTTACAGAGAAATGAGAGGAAACGCAGAGGTAGGTGTGTAGCTAATGACCAGCCCAGCCCTGTGGATTGGAAGATGGATCAAGTAAAAGGAGGTGGATGGAGAAGCAGTACAGGTGACGTGCCAGGGAGATGCTTTAGCAGCAGCATTTTGGACAATCTGGTGGGACAAGAAGACGAGAGAAGAGGGAGTAGAAGAGATATAGTTCGAGCTGACGATGGCCTTGACCAGCATCCAGATTTCAGAGGTGCTGTGAAACAAAACCAGCAGGATTTGGTAAGAGCCTGGAGGTGAGAGTGCTGGTGGATGCCAAGGACTTGTCTGCACAGCAAGCCGCTGGCAGGGCTGGGAGAGACTTGGGAGAGCCGGCGCTGTGCCCGGGCTCAGTCCGTTGTTCCAGACCATCTCTTTGCATAGGGTTAACTGTATTTTATTTAGTTCCTCCCTGGGAGAGCTTTAGAGCAAACCCCAGGCTAATGAGGGCTCAAGAACAAAGCAAAGTATTGCTAGGTAGGGAGTAACTAAATAAAAATGCATAGACGAACGCGCTGCAAAGCTATATTAAAACTGCATTGTAAACGGATTTGACTTCACAGAAATCGTGTAATTTTACCAGCGTGATTAAAGTGACAGAAGACAATAATCAAAGGCAGCAAATGGAATCACTAGATGTTTCTAAATGCAAAACTCTATTTAAGGTATAAAACCTGACAGGTTTTCCAGCGAGACTTGCATTAAATGTTCTTTATGTCAAACAAAGCATTATCAAGTGTTTTGAATATTTATTAGTTTTTACCCCTTAATTTAATCAAGCAGTTTATTAGCCTCGAGGTTTAGCCAAGTTGCTTTTCAACTTGAATTGCTGCTCAGATGGTTATTTTGGAAAGTTTGGAATGTTAGTACTGCACCAGTGTTATTGTGTTTGCTGTTTAAGTGGTGTTTTCAGACTAAGTTATCACTGAAAATGCAGAGAAAGTTGGGTATGTGTTCCTAGCCTAGTGATTCTTTATTATCAAGTCTGGCTGGTGTGTTTACAGTGAATATTAATTACACTTCCAACTACTAATAAGCCAGAACTTGAAAGTGTTTAGTATCTGACAGGTCTCCCTGCTGAAAGCAACACTCTAATAGTACATATAATTTTCCTGGGTTTGGGGGATTTTAAGCCGCATGAAGTATGAGAAATTACCGTGAGTTGTTTGCTGGGTTCTCCTTCACAGCCAGCCCATGCTGAGTGAGCCGATGGCGAGCAGCCCGGGGCTGCTTACAGCTCCCTCCTCCTGCACCGCTTCAGAGTCCCACGCGTGGGACCACGACGTCTTGAGCAGCAAATGTCCTCAAGCAGAGTGGGGAGCCTGCACTCCCCGGTCTGCCACACCGCTGGGTTAGGGTGGCTGGTACAGGAGCTGCCCCTCCTCTGCAGCCCAAATGTTCTCTGCCTTGATCCTGCCTTTCCCAACAGAAGCGTTTCCCCCGGACAGTTACCATCAGCATTTGTCCCCTTCACTGCCGATACATAACTTCATGCAAAACCAGGACCCATTGCACCTACTTATTTGAGACTCACTCCCTTCTTAGAGGTCTTCAAACGAAAATAGACGTAGGCAATGTGTATATTATTACTCCATCTTAAGCAAGGAAGGAGCACAAATGCACAGGACATCTGAGTTTCCTGTGGATTATAGAGACGACCTGTAGCACCAGAACCACAAGGCTGGCATGCTCATTTATTAATACTGTTTTAAAATCAGAGTGCTTGCATCTGATTTTAAGTGCTCTCAAACTGACCTTAGCAAACGGCGCAGTTGTCCTAGAACTGAGCAACTGTCTCTCGTAGCCAGGATGCAGATCTTCACAGCAGTAAAATAAAAAAGAAATGTTGAGTCAGGATGACAGTTTGTTGTTTCGTGTAAACAAAGAATAATATGTGAAAAATGGGCAGAAAGAGCCATTTCAGCCTGTTCAAGAGTCAACATTAGGTACAAAAATAAAGGACCTCTGTAGTACTGAGAGAACAGCATCAGGTTCACGGGAGACTTGGTTTTACAGTTTCTGTCGGCTGTCTCTGCCTGTAGTTAGCAGATCTTCACTGACCCACTGGCACCGATGTTGAAACAGCAGCACAACTGGCCTTGCAGTCGCACTTCCCATCTCCTCCCCAGGAAGATGTCACCCTTGTCAGAGGTGACTGCAGAATTTAGCCAACGTGAAAACCAACAGAAAAAAGCTTTTCTGCTGAATCATGAGCAGAAAGTTATTTTGTGAAAGGCAAAAAGCTCCATCTTTGAAAGATCTGTTGGTCTTTTCCTGAGGTCTAAATGCTGTCCAGAAGTTGAGGATGGAGAAAGGCTGAGTGCATCCCACCTAGCTGTCTGCTCCCTTTTCTAGGTGACCTGACGGGACTTCCCCACTAGTTCCTACAACAGCCACAAGAAGTTGAAGACACACAGTAGCTCATGAAGGCTTTTTATGGTATTTATAGCAAAATCAGAGGCCGACTGTCCATCTCACCTTTCAGTGTAGCAAAGAGCAGCCCTGGTTGTGAGCAGGGACCTTAGCTGGTGGGAGTCACCTTTGGAGCAGAGCAATTTTCCCTGGCTAAACATAAGGAGCTCCGCTAGTGTCTGTGCCGCCACAAGGTACCCTGCCATAAGAATCATAGAACGGTTTGGGTTGGAAGGGACCTTAAAGATCATCTAGTTCCAACCCCCCTGCCACTAGATCAGGTTGCTCAAAGCCTCATCCAACCTGGCCTTGAACACCTCCAGGGATGGGGCATCCACAAGATGAGGAGGTGGGGAAATAATCCTTAGAAGAAATGGGAGATGTGTTTTTAGTCCTGCAGGCCAAGGAACTCCTGGATACCATACGAAGTCTGTGGGATGCTGCCTGCTGCGCAGCAACGCTGCGCCGATGCCAGGGCTAGAGCCGCTGTGAGACAGGGTGCAGTCTGTGTATGCATTTCTCAGCGAACGCCTGGGACAGAAGCTGTACCAGGCTGCTCTGAGACGGAGTTTCAGTGAAACCGTGTGCACTTTGCCACCGTGCTAGGCAGTTAACAAACACCCTGTAGCTACTCCTGTGCCTGTCTCAGTGCAGTGTGCCTCTTTTGGATAGCTCTAGGAAGATTCGTGTCTGTGTCTGCCTTCGGTAACTTATCAAAACAAGCAGCATGGAAATGTTTTCTTGCAGCTCCTGAGGCACCTCCCCAGTGAGGTCCCTTCTGGGTCAAATTCTTCTACTTGATATTTTGTGTTAAACTTTTGCAAATTATCAGGGTAGGATTTTATATCTACAGTGCTTGGGTGTACATATCTGTGTCAGTATTACCTGGCTATCCTGAGCATCCTGTGTAGAGAATCCAGAGCTGGGCATCGCTTCCAGTCCAGTCACATGCACTCTGAATGGTGTGTAAGACGTGCAAGAGAAGATCATGTACTTGGTGGTATGTTGAGTTCATTACCCTGCCCAAGCACAGACTTTAGAGAGTTGGACCCCCACACTGTGAACCGGTCATTCTTTGTTCCTGGTTTTGCAAAGTCCTCTTCCATCCCTAAATACTGTGTCAAATTTCTTAGCGGTGCCCAAGTCACTCCCGGCAGAAAATGCCAGGTGTCTCAGTACAGGAGCCAGAGCGGGTCTGGGCGGTGAGGCGGGCTGTGCTGGTGGGGGCTGGTCTGGGGCAGCATGCAGTATATGCAGGGGCGGTCACGGAAGGGGTCTGTTTCCAGTGCTGTCACTGGTGGACAGCAATGAATTTTCTCTTGCTGTTCCTAGCAGAAGACACTTTTATCCCCTCTACTTGTTACAGCACAACAAATTCCCTTCATTGCCGCTGCCTGACAGCAGGCGGGTGCCCAGGCGCCCTCGCACCATACGTGCATGTTGCCCCTTTGCACCAGCACGCCTCAGATTCCCACCTGCTTCCAGACCTCCTCCTCCAGGTGCAAAACTCTTTCAAGCATATTTGTGCTCAACCCAAGTGGAAACAGACACGGAGATGAGAGTCTTATTTTCAAAACTAACCCAGGCACCTTGGCTTAGCCCAGGCAGTTCATGATCAGCTGCATACCTCGTCCCACGGAGCACGGGATGTTCCAGCACAGCTCTGGCTTCCATACGGCTGTCTGAAGGATGGCCGTACCATTCTGGGAACAGTAGTGGAAGAGCTGCTTCACCTGAAAACTGGTTGTCTGATCACAAAATGATACCAGAATATAAAATTTATCTTGTTTATTTTAGGACAAACAGTGGTTAGCAGGAGTCACTGAAGAGCTGCATGTGATGCAGTGGGCTAATCACTGGCTGTGGGGAGGTAGAGGTGGTGTGTGATCCTGGTTTTGGGTGCTTTATGGCATTGCTGTTTTGGCCCAGGAGTGCTGGACCATTGAACTCCTTGATTCAGGATACTGTCAGCCTAGTCCAAAGCCCAGTGAAGTCAGTCAAAAAGACTCCTGAATGTAATGGTAATGGGCTTTGCGTCCAGCCTTAGGAGCACTGCACCCCTCTCTGCTCTCCGAAACAAAGGACAGTTATAGGGCTGTACCACCTCTTCCAGGTTTTACTGTTGAGTTTTCTTAGCACATTCAGTTGATTGACCTTACAAATGTTACTTTATAGCAACCATGAACACAGATACTCTAAGCCTAGGTTTTCAGGACCTACTGAAAACAGCAGCAGACTTTCCGATGCCTTCAGTAAGCACGGGATGCTCCTGCTTGCTCTACAGTATTGCATTTCCCTTAGCGTTGCATGTTTTCCTTTGCTCAAAGAAGAGATACATGGGAGCAGCAGCTGCTCCGCGATGGTTTGATAGGCCCCTGCGCACACAGCTCGGTGATAACCACAGTTAGAGGGTGGGCTGTTGCTCCAGAGTCCCGCATGAAGAAGATATCAGAAAGTTTGGGGCAGGGGTTGTTTTTAATTTAGGCCACTAATCCCTGTAGGTTTAAACTGATCCCATGCTCAGTAACCAGGGAACTTCGCCGGTGAACAGAGAAAAGCAGTAATGGTT